CGTCCCATACCATCACAGAGCCTCCACCAGCTTCAACAGTCTCCTGTTGACATGCAGGGTTCATGGAATATTGAGGTTATCGGCATACTCGTACACGTCCATCCGCTCGAAACAATGTGAAACGAGACTCGTCAGACCAGGCAACGTGTTTCCAGTCATCAACAGTCCAACGTCGGTGTTGATGGGCCAGGCAGGGCAGTAAGCTTTGTGCCGGGCAGTCATCAGGGATACACAACTGGGCCTACGGTCCGAAATCCCATACCGATAATGTCTCGTTGAATTGTTCGCACACTGACTCTTGTTAATGGCTCAGCATTGAGATATGCAGCATTTTGCGGAAGGGTTGCACTTCTGTCACGTGTAATGATTCTCCTCAGTCGTCGTGGGTTTCGTCATGTACGATCTTTTTGCGGACACAGCGATGCCGGTGGTTTGATGTTTCACCGGATTCCCGATATTGACGGTACACTCGTGAAATGGCCGTACGAGAAAATACACATTTCATCGTGACTCGGAGATGCTATGCTCCATCTCTCTTGGACTGACTATAACACCACGTTCAAACGCACTTAAATCGTGATAACCTGCCACTGTAGAAGCAGCAACCGATCTAACAACTGTGCCAGATTCTGGTTGTCTTATAAAGTCGTTGCTGACCGGGGCGCCGTATTCTCATTGGCTCAAGATCACTTTATTTCAATACGCATGGCTGTAACTTTTTTTTGGCGGGGGGGCTCTTCAGTGTATATAAAGCAAAGTAGGGTTAATTACAGCATTTATAACTCAAAAACGACTGGACAAATTTTAATTATCACTCATTTGTTGAATTCATCTTCGCAGCGAATGGCAGAATAACTATTAAAATATCGGGAAAATTCACTAGATGGCGCGAACAAAACTAAATACTCATGTCAAATGCAACTCGCAACAGGGTTTTTTTATCTATATCCCTAAGTAGCTCCTAAACAAAGCGTTCTAGGGCATAAAAAACTAAAATTTTGTGGCCAAAGAGCTCACAAAACCTTTCTCAGAACCGTAATCTACAGGATGGAATCTTTTTTAACATTCTATTACGTTTTCGTTGGGAGATGAGAGGAAGACGAAGAGAGAGAAAGGGAGAGGAAGGAAGAACGTCTGCCGAGTTTCGCTAATTGATATTAATTGGAATTAATTTCAACTAGCAGAACCCGGAAGAATCGTTTAATATCAGTTGATAATGTGTTGTAAAATAATCGTAAAATAAAGTATGGGACATTTCTATTGAGTGGGATACTCACACCTTATTTATGATTTCTATGTTGTGTTTTATATTATAGTTACCTGAGTTGCGTGAAAATAAGTATCCACCCTTAAGTTACTACAACATCAACAAAACACTGGATTATAAATTATTTGGGAACTCAATTCTAGATAGATGCTCAATAATGAGAAGCTTGCAAAAAGTTCTCTCTGTTCTGAAAATAAACTACTAGCTTCAACATTGGGTAATGCAGTATCAGACAGTTATTGGTAATTGACTATCCTTGTAGTCTCCTGACTATATGCCCCTGGGCTTTTTCCAGGATTACATGCATTTGTCCTATGTTCTAATTATTCTGCAGAACAGTGCCCCCAATAATGAACACATATATTTACAGGTACATTTTAATTTGTGTGCATAGTGTATTTTATTATGTATTACTACGGAATGGATTTTCATGTAATTACATATTTTTACAGGAATGAGATACCAATATTCAATCATATGTTTTAGAGTTTACAAGACATTCTGAATTAAATTTTATCTTAAGCTACATATTATTTTACACTTTTTGTTATATTTTAATATATTTATACTTTGGAACAGAACATTTCAGATGAAATATATATTACTGGAATAATCTCTCTTACAAAACAATGTCATGTTACACCCACTTCCTGACCTTTGTGACAATTTGTCTTACCTAAACCCCCCTTCCTGCTTCTTGGTAACCCTGTTCGTAAAATCAAGGATGAACTAATATTTGTGAAACATAAGTAATTTCAACCACCTTAGTGCTTGCTCAATTTTTTAGAGACCATGCATAACTCAATTGACGTCCAACAAATATTTTTTATACATTGTCTTATTGCATTGTTGGATTGGGAGGTGGTGGGGGCCTTTAATTCTCCTTCTGGGATCCATCACTGTCTGTGCAGAACTACTATTCACTTGAGCACCATTCTTCATAAATATTTAATATACAACAAATGTATTGCACATTTTGAATAAAACTCTTCATGTTTGCTGAAACCTAGTGTATAATTACTTCTGTAGAGGTAGAAGTATCTTTCAGCCTCTTTATTTTACATATTTCCAATTTTTTCCTACATGTTGAGGAAAAAATAAATACATATACGAACTTACTTTACTTTTCTTATTACAGTAAATTTTGTTCCCTATTTATTATAATTGACCACACATTTTTATTGTACCCTATGTAACTTCCTTGGTGCACCTACTAGCACAATGAAAAAAGGATGCACCATATAATATTTATTTGTATTTTAATATGTTTATTATAACCAGGGCTTGGATTCTATTGACATTGAAATTCTTTGAAAATGACCAATAAATAACTTCAAAATAAGGAGAAAGTTACCTATTTTTTAAAAAATACTAAAAAAATGTGAATAAAAATGTTTCTTTATTCAATGAATTTTACAATATTAAATAAAAATTATTTATATAAAACTGTGTTTAATATAAAGTCGTCATTTTAGGAGGAAAAGTAATCCTTAGCTCCAATTTTCCAACCATCAGTTTTAAAGTAGTAGTAAATTTCACCATGAACTTATGACATAATAAAAACTTTGCTTTTGCATGACATTGTAAATTTATGAAACATTTGCTAACAAAAACACAAAAACAAAACAGAACATGTAAAAATGAGAAAAATATCATAAAGGTCCAGAAATATGTCCTAAAAATTTCAAAATGACAAAAGATGACTGTATAACTATACATTTCTATTACCTACATGTGATAAACATTCATTTACAAATTAGCTATGTCTAGATACAGCAATGAAAAGATGACATATCATCAGAATCCGAGCCCTTGTTATAACAAATTGTAGTAATTCAAAACAGGGAAAAAAGAGTACAGAAACTTACATATACTTTTACAAATTTTCTGATAAAAATTGGCGTTCACTTACAGTTAAAGTTCATGACTATTTTTGGGAATACCATTTTTATAAGCTGACTGGAGTTTTCTGTTACAGTTTGTGTTTTACATGTATGTTTAATGAAATACTTTTTTTAAAGATTGCTTTTCAACATTTTGGTCATATAGCAAAAACTGTGATTTTTAAACTGTAGGGAGAACATGTAAGGAAAACACAAACATCTATGCCTGAGATGGGATTCGAACCCAAGACCCTTCGAGCCAAGGTAGCTACAGCCTTCAACCTTAATGACCTTGACTATCCAGGTCAGCAATGAAATATACCTCTTGGTCTAATAATAAAAAAGTAATACTAAAAAAGGTTCAAATTTAATTTCCAAAAAGATACTTTTAATGAAAAATGTAGTTGGGGGCTTCTCCTCTAATAGTGCAGGGGTCTAAAATTAATTAAAATGACTACAAGCTGTCATGCTAAGACAATCTATTTTTTTATAAATTCAAACAAAAAAATCATTAAGTTAACTTCAGAATGAATGTAAATTATCAAAACAACTTTTGACTATTTAAGCAGAAAAATTGGAGCTATTTTCTGAGACTTTGTAAATCAACATTGCATTGAGTTGAGTGCCAGAATTCCGAAATATGAACAGCACAGCTCATGACATAGATACTGAAGTCTAGATGTTGCTTTCCCTAGTGTCATGTCTTGTCTCACTTTTGCATAATTATTAGCTCAGAGAAGATGAGCAGTTCATAGACAATAGATCTCCTTGAGAATAATGATCATCTCCATTCAATGTACATCTGTGCAAAGGAGGACAGAAGCTGTTGACTTTGTGAGAAATCTTTGGAATCAACTGGGCATTCTCAAAAGGTCACACAGTTGCTGATGGTTTCTAGAGTGTATGTCTTATTAATGGCAAGTATCTGATATAATGTAAATTTGAAAATGTATTTTTGTGACTATAAAGAAAGACTGATTTTTCTACATTTTTTTAACTCCAGACAACCATTGTCGCTTTCCTACCATGTATTATTTAAGAGATTTTTCACATCAGTTCATTAATCAAACCCAGTTATGTTCAGAATTTTAAAACAATTACTTATTACCAAAGTACACAAATTTATATTCACTTTAACATTAATCAGATACTAAGATAGTGTACTCACTATGAAGATGCATGCATGTAACTTTAACTTTATCTTCACTGCAAATGGACTGTTTTTAAAAAAAATTGTTTCTTTTATGAATGCAAAAACCGAATAGAAACAGTTCACATGTATAATATATTACAAATAATTGTTTATTGAGGTAGAAGGAAGAAATGCTATGTAGTAGGAACAGTCATTTTTTTCCCAGAGAATTTTAGGGATATAATTATGTAATTTATAATAATGATTGCCGATACCTTTCACCGTGTTTTATCACTGAGCAGCTAGTTGCTTACCTAAGTCCTCTTAACTAAAGTGTAATTTGGTTTACACACAATTTTGTTGTTATACAGTCTTTAAAACCTGGTACAACATCCCTCATTGCAGAAAATCTGTTTCCTTCGTAAATTGAAAAAGAAACCTTTCATGTATGTCAAGAAATATTGAATAATAAAAATGTGATATAATTTTAAAAGTTGCATTATAACTCCCAGAGTACAGGGACTCATGTTTAGAAATGGAGAGCACTTTTTTATTGCAAAAAAAATTTAATTTTTTCTAAAGAAATGACTCAAGTTAAGGAAGAAGAGATAAATTGGAAAGAAAATATAAAATCTAAAGATACAAATTTCGTTGTTGTTAAATTTTATAATAGATTGTATGGGAAATGAACACACATTAATGAATTAGAGAAAAAAAATGTGTTAGAAAATATATTTATTTCATTCTTATTTTACATTCTGGAAATCATTTGATCTACAGTTGTTATTAGTAGACCATTGTACCATTGAAAACATTTTCTCTATACACATGTTAAAAACAAATATTTATTTAAAACAATTTAAAAATTCATATTACAGTTTTGTAAGAGAATATTTGAACTCTACAAACAACATAAAAAAATAAACTATCTGTACAATAGAAAACTCAGTAATACTTGTTTTGCCAAAGAATTTAGACTAGAGCAGAAAAGAAAACCCCCAAATAAGATGAAAACTTACTTGCTGGCTTACCTTCTGTCACAAACTACAGGAATTATTCTTTGCAACTATATACATGAATATCAAATTTAATTCGAATAAGCTCTGTCATATAAAAGGAAAAATAAATATCAAAAAGAAACTTTTGCAACGTAAAGGAAGCCAAATATTATTTTTTTATTAATAGACTCTTAAAATGTTGATTAAATATAAATGCTACTACTAACATAAAATCTAATATTTAATAAATTGAAATTTTGTTATATACTTGGAAAACTTCTTGAAATAGAACATTACTATGCACTAGTAATTTCCTTTCACGAGTTTCCTCAACTGTGAAAACATTGCAAAATAATTTCATGTAAAGAATCAAAAGGAAACGAAAAGCTGGGGGACCAACTCATCCATAAGTCATTTGGCAATGACTGAGAGTTGTACCAAATGAACTTGCCAGTTTTCACAAAGGGGTACAAACAGACATTTCAAGATCGTAATGGCAGAGCTTAATTCCTTTAATACAATTCTATGTTACAGCTGTACAATATATAATTTATTACACAAGGGAGTGTATTTTCAAGTAAAGTATATTTTCAAATCATAATGTTCAGTTATTACAAAATATCAGTTAAATAATGATTTTAAAAGTGCAACATTCTTTAAAACTGTAAAAAATTGGATGAACGAAAATGCAACTTCAGATAATAAACAATGGACAATTGGACAATTAAATAAAACCCCACTTTTCTTTCAAAATATGCCAATGAATTCTTTTTAATATTTTAACTCTAAGATGAATCTTTCTTCCTTTACAGCGATATTTATTTTACTTTACTTTAAGTATGCAAAATGAGTATTTGTCAAAAATGAAGGCAAGACATGAAGACCATTGTTACACTCCATTTACTGCACAAAAATAACAATGTCTTCATATATTTCAATTCTAACTTTGACAAGAGCCAAAAAATGGCATAAATGTCAGTGCAAATGTCTGACTCAATATGATTAGTTATACACTGTATGGCAATGCAAGCATTCATGAGCTCCTATATCTTATGATATCTCAATCGTCACAAAGCTCAAATTGATAAGATGAACAGGATAGATCTATGTAATTAAGTACATTTGAACAGACAGTTTTCTTAATTAATTATATCTTCATAAAAGTTATTATTTTTGCACTTCACACTTTCAAATATGTATAATAATGTGATGTGCTCTAATACTTTTTCAGTAACATTAAATATGTTACAAAACTGTTTAATAATTTTCATCATTAAAGTGCCATACTTTCTCATATTATCACAGCTCTGTTGTGTAATGTAGCACCACTGCATGTCTTCATGAGCTGAATTTCAGCTGCCTGTAATATCAAGAGTTATTATGAAAAATATCTTTATCGAAAATACAGCCTGACAGAATGAATAAAATATCCTCTTGAATGGACTTACAGTTTTGGGTTTATATTGTCCCAATATAATATACTGCGCTTGATGGGGAAAGACAGAGGTCGATTCCTGGAAGATTCCTGTAAAAATGACAAGTGTAAATAGAATGTTTCAGAATAAATAATACTTTGTATCATGCACCATTTTGCTGAATGATATTAAAAAATAAGTAATAGTTCTTGTCTGCTCCTAAAAATGTTTGTAAAATCACTATAAATTTTAATTTCTTAAATGATTTATTTATCAATACTAAATTAACATATTTATCATATCATATCATTAAAAATTATAATTTTTTTAGGTTTATATTTTATATTTTATTCAAATTATAAATGTACATTTTTTTTATTTTTAAGACGATTTTTATCTCAATATCATTTTCTTTCATGCAAAAGATATCTTTATACTGACGAAAGTGTCGGATACTTGGTACCGTCAGCGTTTAACCAACACCGTTCCCATTCTTATTATTAACTGACGCTGAGAACGTTACGTCTTACGTTAACTCTAACGGAGAGTTCAGTCAGCCACCTTGGTTTACGAAGACTCTCTGGTTGCGATCTCCAACCTCTAACTGCGGGTTTGCATACATTTTCAGGAGGGGTTTGGCACTTGTTGACTTCTGCAGTAGATAAGTAATTCATGTATGGTTTCTTTGTACTATTTGCCTGGAAACAAAACATCCACATGCTTATTATGTACCCTAACATTTTTATTAAATTTTCTGAATCCTTTTCAAAAACTTTAATGATTCCAATAACTTAAATAATATCCTGAATGATGTCTTACCTCACGTTTAGAGTTAGGAATAGGTGTAGGAGCTCTTTCATTTCTGTCTGGGCTGATCATCAAAAAACTTCCTGTAAGACCCTCAGCCGTAATATCTTGGAGAGATCTATTTCTTCCTTTGAACCCCACTTCTGCAGTTACCTGATAAACATTGATAATTTTTTGTAAGATGTTTATAAGAACAACAAGAAATAATATCAAGTGATAAAATACCATGATGCTTACCTGAGTATTAGTTATTGATTCCAAGGAACAAGATTTGCTTGACATTGCTACTTTTGCTTTTCGGATATCAGCTTTCTTAACTCTCCGAGGTGGTTTAATAGGAGGAAGTAAGGTTTTCTCACGAGATGTTCTGGGGAATGTTGAGTATTGAGGCACATTGGTCTCATCTTCAGATTCAATGTCTGTTGATTTGTGCATTTGTGATGGGCTAAATGATGCTTCTGCTTCTTCAAGTTCTTCCTGAGCACTCCTCACGTCTTCATCCCTTGTTAAGGCAAGTACTCTTTGAAGTTCTCTTTCTTTCTCAGCAAGAGCATTGCTGATATTGGCCAATGCTTTCTCACTCTGTTCTCTTTCTTCCACGAGGTGCTCCTGCTGTTCCTTCAAAATGGTCTGTAAATCAAAAAAGTAATTGACAGTGAAAAATGCAGCTTCAAAGAAACCAGGTGAGAAACCAGAAGAGAATCAAATAGGTCATCCTAAATTTGAATCAGAAGGAACTTTCAGTCTGTTTTTTAATAAAGCATTGACATGGAAAATGCGAAACTAACTGTGTCACCAGTGTCAAAACAGACAAAAAAAACAACAACAAGTAAATGGTGAATAATTTTCTGATAGTGAGACTTGTTCAAGAAAAATTGTTTCTTCAACTTTGGAATTTACGTTTAGTTTTTTTTTTTTCTGCACAAAATATGAGTTTTTAATATGTCTTATAAACTTAATTAAAGTAAGTGTAGAAGAATACTGAAATTCATGAACAATTTTTGCCCCCAAATTTTCACTTTACAAAGAAAACATGTTGCAAGTTCATCTGTATAAGACAAAGAGATTCCTCCCCAATTACACCACCTGAAAATTGATAAATCTCTTAACCTTCTAAGTATTTGGTCATTCAATATTCAATTCAATTTTCACCTTACCAATTGATTCAATTTAACAAATTGTAATACCATGTGTGTTAAGAGTTTTTATCCTGAGAAAATGAATGAGCAGGTTAAAACTTACTTGTAATCTCTCCATGCCAATTTTTAGTTCGTCACTCTCTTTATTGAGCTGTGAATTTTCCTTCTCCAAGCGAGAGATTTGGCACTTCAATTTTTCAATCTGAAAAGAAAAAAGAATTTAAAAATGTATCTGGTAGACAGAACATCAGAAATGTACTTCATAAGTTTTGGAATTCTCAAGTGATTTCAAACTAGGCCTTGATTCTAAATTTATTTTGGTTTCTTTTGACTGAAAGTAATCTAATGTGTTCTTAGTTCAGGAACAGACTTAGGTGAATAAAACAAAATTGATATAATTCATTATGGTATTTGATATATTAATTATAATTTTCATAGTATATTATGTAGATAAAAGATTATTGGGCTACATGCAGAGATTAGTAGGCAATAAGCAGACAAAAGAAATAACATTGTACAAAGAATATGTAAATAGTCATTGTGTAAGCCATATTGTCTAGTCAGAAGTGACCTAGAACCTTATTTGCAAGTGTGAAATGTGCGAGTTTGTGTCACAAAATACATCTTCATTAAGTATAACATTGAAAAACTGTTAAAACTAAGTTAAATTTGGGAAAGAAAAGTTAGGATAAAAAAAAGATGAGAAAAATTATCAAAATACTATCAAGTTTTGATTCCTTTTGATATTACACTTCTCATTCTTAACTCGTTATAGGATACTACTTTCTGAGAAATACAACTCATATCTGTAGTTCGTTGATTGATGCAAACAATTCTCTTAACTCAAGAGCAAAAATGTCTATCTCCAAATGATACTAACCTCGCTTTGTTAGTATTTGTATTTATCATTCAACTACTTACAGTTAAAAGGTGGGGAGGAGTTTCCAAAAGTAAAGAAAGTGTGTGCAGATTGTACTTCTCCCCCATACATTTTGATTCACATTTTATTGTTCATTGAAATAAGAAACAAAATCAAATCAAACTGTTAACATTCTAAAGAAAACTATTTTTCTTCGTAATAAAGAAGATTGATGAACGGAACATCTGTGTAATTGAATATATGGCCCACTCGATATGTGAGGAAGACAAGAATGTGTGTGCATGAGATGTATGTGAACGAATAGAGACTGTTATTTGTATTGTCATGGGTGTAAACGGGAGAAGGTTTGATTATTTTGTATTTCAACTGCTATTGTCAATAGTGCAGCTCAGTGTATGATTTTAGCATTATGGTCCACATCAGATTGTGGGTTTTTTCCCACCCTAGTATCTCTCACCAGCAGGGAGGTACTGCCACAGCCAGGAAAAGCACTAATCTTCCTGTGAGTCTGAATAGTTGTAGTGTACAAAAAAAGAAAATGTGTGTGTATTAAGACGTGAGGGTAGGACAAGGAAGAGGAAGGAGATTGCACGTGGCTGGTTCCCTGTTGGTAGGTTACTTCTCTTGATGGTGTCTGGAGAAGCCACGGAAAACTACAGATCAGAGCAGGCGGCCGCTAAAATTATCCTTCAGACAGCGTCTGGATTCGATCTAGCTATCTAACTAGTGTGGAAAACCCTGCCACTGCCGGGAGAGGAACCCTAGGATCTCCCTGTCAGAGGCCCTGGAGTGTCACCTGTTAATATGCTCAGCAGCCTAAGCCGGTGTGAAGATTCGCGGGTAAGGGTAAGGGTTTGGGAATGCCGGCCGTGTGTTGTGTGCTTAAGGTAATGAAGGTTCGAGGGTCGAGGGGTACTGAACGTCTATGGGCTGGAAGTGCTGAAGATTCAAGAATCAGGGAAAGCTGGAGCTACTGTGTGCTGAAGATTCGAGGGTTGGGAAACGCTGGACGTGCATTTGGGTGCCGAAGGTTCGATGGTCGGGGAGTGCTGGACGTGCATTTGCGTGCTGAAGATTCGAGGGTCGGGGATTGCTGGACGTGCATTTGCGTGCTGAAAATTCGAGGGTCGGGGAATGTTGAACGTGCATTTGCTGAAGGTTCCAGGGTCGGGGAGTGCTGGACGTGCATCAGTGTGCTGAAGGTTCGAATGTCGGTGAATGCTGAACGTGCATTTGCGTGCTGAAGGTTCAAGGGTCGGGGAATGCTGGACGTGCATCAGTGTGCTGAAGGTTCGAGTGTCGGTGAATGCCGGACGTGCATTTGCGTGCTGAAGGTTCTAGGGTCGGGGAGTGCTGGACGTGCATGAGTGTGCCGGAGGAGTCGGTACGCACGTCCTTGTCGAAGGCGTCGTGCAGGGCGTCGGCGGCGTCCGCCTTGAGGCGCAGCTCGCGCTGCAGGTCGGCGTTGAGGCGGCGCTCGTGCGCGATGCGCGGCCGCAACTCGTGCTGCGCCTCGTGCGTGAGGCGCTCCACGGCGCCGTCCGCCGCCGCCAGCGCCTCCGACAGCTGTGCCGCGCGCGCAGCCAGCGCCGCCTTCTCCTCCTCCGCGCGCCGCAGCGCCGCCGTCGCCTCCTGCACGCTCTGCTCCAGCTCCGTCACCTGAGTACCACCACGCACGCATTGCTAGGGTGGCCAGATTGGGAAAATAGGAGTTTTTTTCGTTGTGGAGAGAAATGGAGCACATAAATGGGCAGGAAAATGTTTGGGGAAATTATTTTCGTCAGCAGTCGAGATAGAAATATTATTCTCTCAATTATTATGAATAAAAAAGAAACAAAAAAGTGTTAATATCTCTCATTTTTGTATCAAAAAGTGAAAAATAAACTACAAGCTTAGAGAAAGAAAAAAAGAGGATAATATTTGAGCATAGAGTAGAAATATCCCTCCTCTATGGTTTCGAGCAGCTCAAAGAACGGTGATTGGTTGTTTTGAATTATTTGTATTTAAGGGAATACCCAATAGGATCGCCAGGGGCAGTTCATATCGTTTGTCATAATTTAGAGAATATTTTTCGCTTTAAAGTTGGAAAATTTTGTTTCATTGGTGACTTTATTTGGGAAAATTCCGCAGTAGTGGTGAGGACAACAAACAAGGCAACCCTACGCACTGCATTGGCCTTCTCCACCACGATGCACAAGAAAACGTCTTCTAGGGCACGAAGATAATCACGTCTTCTAATGTACATGTGGGGAGAAATCTCATATAAAAGATTTACGCGAGTTATATTTGCTTCTGATAAGAACTTGGAGTAATGAGATTTCCTATCGTATGTTTATTGGAGGAAGCTATCATCTTCTACCTTCTTCGTACACTAGATGAAATTCTCGTTGACTCTGAGGCATTGTATATTCTATTTCGTATATAGAAATTAAGTTAATCAGATCACTGGATCACGTTTACAGTGTACGTAGAAATGTGAAGAATTTAAGCACGAAGTCTCGTTTGAAAAAGTGTGGTTAAATTTAATAAAATACTCCTTTAAAAACATTGTTGATTGCTCTTAATGAACTAAGGGAACTCCCCGACTTATCTTGCCACTGTGAACCTAATATATGTTTGAATTGATTGAATTGAATTGATAATTTTGTAATAATGTTTGTTTGTTTGTTTGTTTGTTAGTTAGTATTTTATTCACTGCCGCACCATTCATCCGATTGCGATAAAATCGTGTCAACTTATTGCTTGAACTTGCGAAAAGAATATAGGCATAGTAAAATGGGAATGTATGAATGTCTGTCGCACATATCCGCGCGTTGATGATGATTTCATGCGCTTATGGTGTTTCAAGCGCCGCTGAACAGAAGCTCTACGCAACCCGCCACACTCTGAAGTATTAAACGAGTCATCTCTGCCTCTGCGATTGTGAAATATCGGGCGAAATTATTACTTAAGCGTAGAAATTATTACTCAGACAAGTAAATCAAATTTCTCCAAGACAGTGTCATACCGAATGCATGCCCAAACTTCAGGGAAAACGTTTTAACAAAAGGACACTTTACAACCATGTCTAAACCAGGACTTCAACCAACCCCATACTTGAAGAAAGTGTTTTATCTACTAAAATTTTTGCAGATATTAGCGTAAAACGTTATTCACAATCACTTGCACATGGCCAGAAGGGTATGAATTGTACTATAATGCAATAGTGAAGCCACTAGTAATATAGAGCACAAACATACATATGTAGCAATATAAAATTTTGTATACTGTATATATGTATTCTGTACTCATAGTTTATATATTACCATTTTCTTGCTAAGACTCATATTTTATCCGCTTAAACGGGTACGTGTTAGCGAGAGATAGCAAAAGCTAGCTAAAAGTGAGGCTGTGTCCCCAAGCGCAGCGCACCTCGTGGTCGTTGCTGCGCTGCTGCCGCTGCTGCAGCTCCGCCGCGTCCAGCCTGGCGCGCAGCTCGGCCTCGGTGGCCTGCAGCGCCTGCACCTGGCGCTGGTAGCCGCCCTCCAGCTCCGACCACAGCTCGTCCGCCTCCTGCAGCGTCTCCATGTACGCCTTCTCCTTCTGCTCCAGGTCGCGCACCTTGCTCTTCAGCTGCGCCTCCAGCTGCGCCGCCGCGCGCAGCCGCTCCTCCTGCTGCGCCTGCCGCGCCGGCTCCGCGCTCACCTGCAGCCACCCACCCACCAGCAATCAAATCACTAGCCCAAATCTATCTAGACCTAGAAAAGTCTACTTCGCAATCTTATTTATTTATTTATTTATTTATTTATTTATTTATTTATTTATTTATTTATTTATTTATTTATTTTACGTCAACACACTTGGAAAATGTGTATTCTGTGCTGTATTCTTAATTCTGGTGTCTATACCACATCATAGAGTAATGATGTATGAATATGATATACCTTCTAGTCTATGACCACATACAAGTTGAATTCTGAATACAGAAAGATATGAGCGTTTTCGGTAAAACTTGTTAACGAAATATTTGCTTCGATGTAATAAAATCTATTTTCAAAGGCAAATCAGCTATAGATTTGGGATATCCCTCATCATGTCCTTCGTGAAGGAATATACTTCTGACTTGACAACATGAAGAACGATCATTTGAATAACTGTATTTCCCAGTCAACTTTGAATTCATTGTATACTTAGTGTTATTATTTTACTGATTATTTGGATTCCAATAGACCTTTAAAATTATAAATACATAAAATTTACAATGTAGATAAATATATAATTATAAATCCGTAAAATTCTACCTCTCTTAATACAAAAAGGAAAAATATTAAATGGCATTTCCAAAATAAAAATGCCCTTAAATTCGCAAATATTAGTTTTGGATGTGATCTTTCTTCCCCTGATTTGACAATACCAGCAGCACATTTGTGATTGCAGGTTGTCTAACTACAGTAAAGAAAGGCGAAAATACGTGAATGTTTCACTTAAGGAATTTTAATTACACCAGTCTGTTCCCTTTACATATCATTTTCATCCAGTAAAAACTTTCGTAACAGAGAATAAACAATAAAATGTCAAGAGCTTCCATTTGAAAGCCAATTATTGTAGCTACAATCTTCGCATTTCTAAAGCATGGAAATTAATTAAATCAATTTCTTTTTTTAAATTCGTCAATGAACGTACCATGAATTGTGAAAAATCTTGTGAATATTAGATCGAATGCTCAAACGAGGCCTTTTTAAACTGTTTAAGGTTGTTTTTCGACTAGTAAGGTCATGTAAGTAACATTGGTGGTAACGGTGACGGTATACGGATACATACACAAACATTCACGTCCCGGGCGGGATTCGAACCCGCGACCCTTCAAGCACGAGACAGCTACGGAACGTTAGCCTTAGCGATCTCGGCTATTTAGGCCGACTAAAATTGAGGCTTATGCTTTGGCAGATTCTAAAATGGAACCTTATTATCTTCAATAAATGGAGGATTACGCTTTCGCAGATGTACAAGCAGTTTCTCCTATTTATTGCCGTGATTCGTTTATCTGTTGCAGCGCGGGCAAAGAGAACACCCACCTCCGTCATGGTCTCCCGGTCAGTCTTTTGCAGCTCCTCTTTGGCCAGTCGCTCCTGCAGCTCCTGCTCCAGCTCGCGCATGCGCTGCACCAGGCGCTCCTGGGCCTTGCGGCAGAGCCCGTTGCAGGCCCTGGGCGGCAGGCGCGCGCCGGCGCTCGGCTTATTGTCTATCGGCAGAGCGGACGCGCGCTGCTGCTGCTGCAAAACACTCGCGGTCTTGTACACGTTCCACGCCACCACCACCGGCCACCACTGCACCAACAGCTCCAACTGGTGCTTGAGTTCGGTCTCGCGCTCCTCCAGTTCGTAGTTACGCTCCTCGTACGTGCCGAGCATCGACTGAAGGTACGACACTTCGCGGTGCAGCTTCTCGCCGTCCAGCAGGCTGCTCTTGAGGTTGGCGCTGGCCCGTCGCTCTTGGAGCAGCTTCGACTGCAGGTCGCGGTTCTCTTCGCTGATGAGCTGCAGCTTCATTTCTAGCCTGGGGAGCAAACGAAAGGGTGAGATTTGCACTTAAAGAGTCTTAAACAAAGTTAAGTATTTAAAAGGTTCTGGAAGTTAGTTACATTTCAAAAAAGGACCAGTCAAATGACATTAATAATATATGTTTGCAAAGTGATAAGAACAACAAAAAATTAAAAGGGATCACAGATGGATGTTTGATGTATTCCAAGACGCTAAATGTAATAAAATTGATAAGATATCTACATATATGAGAATTTTGGAATAATTCAATTAAGCCAAATTTTTCATAAGCTTGTAACACCGTAAAAGAGAAGAAAAATAAATACGATCAGTGAACTTTAAAGCATTGCAGTTTTACTAATCTAAGAATAAGAATCTATTGCGGTGCATTTTTGACAACGTTCAAATCATGGACTTATAAGGAATAGGTATTAAGCCCAAAATCATGGAACTAAAGACTTGCAGATGAGAGCAGCAGTTTTGCCGACAGGGTTTTGTTGACAAATATTTCTGACGGCTTCAGTACTATGTAAATAATATTTACTAGGACTTTACTACCGCTAATTTGAAACTTAATACCTTTTCCTTGTAAGTCCACGCAATACTATAACAGTCTCTTGTTTTGTTTTCTTGTTTTGGAGAAAGGTTCATTATTCGAAACGTATCAAACAATTTTCTTATTTTGATAAACATGAAAAAAGAAGAAACTCCTTTCTTTGTGTTCTTAATTTGTTTATAAAGTTCGATTTCACGATATCATGAGTCATATTATCAATTTACTCGAACGTAAGAAAAACTACGATACTAGACAAAATAGAAATAACGTAAAGAAATAAGAAAAGAGAAAAGCTAGAAAGAGTCAGAAATACGAAAGAAGAGAAATAAATACGAAATAAGAAAAAGAAATACACAAGAAGGGAAGAGAAGCGGAGGGGAAAACGAGAAGGAATGAAGGAAGTATAAGAAAGGCGGAAAGGGAGAAAAAGATGAAATGGAGAGAAGAGAAAAGAGAGAGAGAGAAACAAAGAAGAAATGAAGAGGAGGACAAGGGAAGGGAAGAGAAGAGAAAAAAAGGCAAAGCGAAGGAGGGGAGGCTGAGCTCACTTCTGGCAGCGCAGGCGCGTGTCGTTCTCGGCCTCCTCGAGCTCGCAGCGCTGCTCGTCGAGCCGCGCCTTCTCCTCCTGCAGCTGCGCGATCTTGGCCGTGAGCTGCGCCACCTGCGCCGCCAGCTGCGCCTCCTTCTCCTCCTGGGAGCTGCCGCTGCGCTCGTACAAGCGCAGCTTGTCCTCGAGCGCGCTCAGCCGCTCGCGGCAGAAGGCCAGGTCGCCGCCTCGCTCCTCCACGCGCTCGCGGAACTGGTTCAGCTTCTGGATCTCCGCGCGCAGGTCGCCCTGGCTGGGCACGGAGCCCTGGCCGAGGCCCAGGCCGTGGCCGTGGCCGTTGCTGCTCTCCGTCTGCGTGCCCTGCGTGCACAGCTCCTCGGTGCAACGCAGGCAGAAGTTGGCGGCCAGCGTGCTCACGATCTTGTTGGGCTTGAGCAAGGTGCCGTTGAGCGGTTTGGCCTTGGGGTCCAAGGGCAGCTTGAGGGGGCTCGCCGGCTGCAGCATTTCGTTGAACGGAGGGACCGTCGCCACGATGCGCGCCGGGAATTTCGAGTCGCCGTTGAGGGCGTAGTCGGGCAGGCTCTTCAGGGAGTGCGTCTGCAAAACAAATTAGAATCCGTGTCAAACTACGCACATTTGAATTAATTGTCTCATATGTTATTTCAAAAGTGTAGTTGAGTTTTACGCCTCTCATACGAAACTAATATTTATACATGATAATTTTACGGAGACGTGATAAATTGTTCTTTGGCTTTAAAATTATGTAGGATTTGGTGAAAAAAAAAAGTATATCAATATTCATAACAAATGCAACCCGCAACACTCGGTCAGTATTGTCAAAGTCTATGTAGTTAAAGAACTCCTAAATGACGAGTTTTAGGGCTTTATAACCTGGAATTGTGAGACCATAGTCATCTTCCTCAAACCGACCTACACAGGATAAGATCTTTTCGACATTCTATTACATTTTTGCAGGTCCGGTACTTCTCAATAATACCCCGCTACTTCACAGATGTGCAGAATCTGCAACTGTATGTGAAATTAAACGAATTGATATTCTTTGTGATTGAATTGCACGGGAATACCTCTGTTCCGTAATAAAGTAAAATAATATTGCAATGGAAACTTGGTTATCCTGTATTTTCTCATGGACAACTTTATGTAGTTTTCTCAAGAGTAAACAGCTTTTCTAATATTTTGGGACTATCTATAAAAGCTAAGTGTCAAGGAAGACTTTACTTACTTCAAAGGTTGATTTTAAGGAAATGTTGTGAATTGTTTCAAGGACATCTGTCTATAATACTAAATAAACTTTGATTGAAAATTTGTTTCAAACATCAATTGCATTGATTTTTTTTATTTTTATGTTATATCCTATAAGTACATTGAAAGTTACTGTTGTACATTTTTAAATACACGTTCCGTTAACAACTTTCCTCTTAACATGGAAATGGAAGGTTCGGGAAATGGGTATGGTTTAACATGCGATATTTCGCGCATAGGTATGCTAGTCTTAAATTAATCTGAATTATTGCTTTCCAACAACTTGAATAAAAACCATACCGTTAATTCCTTGATTTTCTTCCTACAGTATTGTCACATTATAATTCACACAATTCGCTACTATTTGAATTGTATATGAAATTATATACACGGAAATACGTTTCCGTATTCACTAATATTCTTTAAAATCGTTCATAGGCATTCGAAAAAATCAAGATGGTACATACACCATTTTACAACATACAAGTTTTCATATAAAGATCGTACAAGACTAATCCGAAGAAGTGTATTTTTTTCTTGGAAAAGAGGGAATTTTTGTAAGTCGAATTTGAGGTAACTATTTCCATTCAGCCTATTCATGTTTTGATCACCTAATTTATTTCTTTGATGGATTATGAATGACTTGGAACCTCAAAACAAACTGAATTCGTATTTTATTGATTTTTGGTCGAAATTAATAAACATAAGTGTACTTAAATACTTTCCTTGGTTTAAAACTCCATGCATGCAATGAAGTTCTATATTGAAAGTTGCTATATTGTGATTAACTAGATTGGATTTTTCATAAATAGCCATTAATAATGAAAGTTTTATTCTGTGTTTTTCTTAATAAAATTCTTACTCGGAAATTTCTGCTCATTTGCTTAACAAACATTTTCACTAAATAATGTTTTTAGTCAATTTCCAATACCTATATTTGCGTGCCAAGGAAGACGATCAATGTTTCAAGAGATGACGCAAGAAAATGCAGAAGTTATTACGTCATCTTATACAAGTCGTGACCTATCGCAATATGTCAAGCTAGGAACAGTAAATAAGCCTACAAAAGTTTTATTTTGCTTACGGAAGTTTCCTTTCCACAAATGTCTGCTTTTAAATCTTCTCCATTCTTCGTCCACAGCACTTCAGTGTCGCTTGTTACTATTCAGAAATTGCTTGTTTTAGGAACGCGTTATCTATTCATTGGTTGATGATGGATAGTTCAAACCTTGCCCATGTTAATTTCTTCATGGATATTGGCAAGTTCTCGAAATAACCGAAATATACATGTCCCTGTTTCTTACATAATTATTGTATGTACCTGCTCACTACAAACTTTAAATAGATTATTCTGCACTTTCAGCTCATCACTGCTCGTATTGAAATATGTCATGGAGATAGGTTCGACATTTGTAATTAAAATTAATTAACATAGCCTTTTTTGTTATATCTACAGTCACGTGCAAAATAATAAAAATTAAATATACTTCCATAATCGATTTTAAAAATGTTGAAACTTAATGAGTCTTTATTCAAGCATACATATTATTATAACACATTATTACTATATTTTACAGAGGGAAATGCAAAACTTTGCATTCTATTTTTATTGATATACTGAATAACTGTAAATCCTCCTTAACACGAATTCGAAGGGCCCGAAATAATCGATAACCACGTTATCCGGTTTCATACATACGTACTATGTACTATGTACTATGTTTCCTTGTGTGTATGTACTATGTTTCCCTGTATGTGTCGAGATCCAAATTTTGTGTTACGACGAAATTCGTGTTAAGTGTGTTCCTCCCAACGATGGTTTACTGTTGCTGGCTGAAGAATGTGTTTTTAACTTAAAATAACCAATACTACGATTATTTAGGTCATATTATGCAATTGATATTCCATTTAATTTAATAGCATTTATTGTATTTTGTCTCAACAACATAGTTCATCATGAAGTATAGTCTTGCTAAGGCGAGACATACTATCGCATTACTTTGATATAAAATAGAATAGATATCATGAAAACTATTGTTTTCATGGATTAGTCAAATTTAAAAATGTCAAATGTCCATAATATGCTAAATTTTAACATTAATTTCATGTACTTAATTTTATTACTCGTCAAGGACAAATTTGATGTCACTTGTTTTTGAACCTACTTCACCAACCATGTAAATTGGAAGGCAAACTGTGAAGGAAACGGAAATGAGCAAGTCATGAGTACAAGAAATACGAGGTATTTCTATAAAATACCATTATTACAGAAAAATATCTTTTGACATGCATTTAAACCGATTCAACAACAACCATTTGTGAGTCTTTTTTTACATTTGTAAGTCTTTATCACGACGCAACGCGTTTCCTAAACTGTACGTTGAACGCTTTGCCTTGTTTACAACACGAGAAAGACATCAACGACGAAAGATCAAGAAGTGTGCTTATGTCATATTTTTTGTATTTTCCTCTACCAGATGTTACCTTCGTATTATAGCTAGTAATCTCCAGAATCCATTCTCAACTATTTTTTAATACATTTTATTCGAATTCAAATTTCAATCTCATTTGAGAAACAAAATTAATTGCTGCTACGAGTTTTGGAGTGAGGTCTATGTTTATATAATACTATTATATAATTCATATATAACCTTTCTATATAATAAACGAACTTCAATTTTACTTGAAAAGCCAATAGTACAATAATTAAATAATACTAATAGTACATACATACATAAGCCAATACTACATAAATATTAGTAATATTACTAATAATTATACTACAATAATTAAACACACATGTGATAGTATTTTACTACTTCTCAGGTTAAAATTAAAATTTAAAAGAAATAATAATTATTGTCTGAATTTTTCCATCTATAAAGAAAATATTTACGTCGAACACTCGTTTTTGCATTTAATTCCTGGGACGAAGTGGAACACTGCATACAAGATTTAACAAAAAACGTTGAGTGGCTTAAATAGTTAATCAATTAATTTTATGAGAAAACAAAGAAACGAAAAAAAGACCTCTGACTAAAAAGCTAATTTGAGATTTACTAAATAAAGTAGACGGAGTACCAAAAAAAATAAAGCGGAGAAAATTAACTGGATACCAATGACTAAAAAGCTAATTTAAAATTTACCAAATAAAATAGACTACCAAATAAAAAATTAAGAGAAGAAAATTAACCGAATTAACAAAACGGTCAGCAAATCCACATTTGAGCAAATCCACATTTGAGCAAATCCACATTTGAGCAAATCCACATTTGAGCAAACCCACATTTGAGCAAATTCACATTTGAGCAAATCCGCCTTTGAGCAAATTCACTCACCATGGTGGAGGCGAACGGGCGCGCGTCGTCGAGCAGCGCGGCCACCTGGTGCAGCGTCCACTTGTCCTCGACGCTGCTGAGCGCGCGCGCCACCGCCAGCACCTTCTCCTTGAGCTCAGCGCACGGCAGCGGCACCGCCAGCGGCAGCTCCTGCGCCCGCGCACGCGCACTCGCTCAGCACTCCGCCCCCGCCTCCAGCGCCACCCTCCCTCCTTCCCTCCCTCGGGAGGCACTGCGGCGCCGCTGGAGGCGGCGGCGGCGGCGCAAGATGTGGGGGCGACGGCGATAGGGTGGTGGCAATGGCAGCGGGGACGGAGACGGTGGTGATGGCGGACGACGCGCGGCGAAGGAGGCGGCGGTGGTGGTGGGAGTGGTGGCGGTGACGGCGATAGCAGCGGCGTCAGCGAGAAAGGCCGAGGAGGCGGAGAAGGAGGCAGCTGCGGCGGTGGCGGAGAGGCACAAGATGTGGGGGGGGGGTCGATAATAGGATGGTGGCAATGGCAGCGGCGATGGTGGCGGGGGCGAACGAGGCGGCGGCGGAGGAGGCGGCGGTGGCGGCGGTGGTGGGAGTGGTGGCGATGGCAGTGGCGTCAGCAAGGAAGGCGGAGGAGTCAGCGGCGGCGAGTTTGACGGAGGAGGCTGCGGCAGAGGAGGTGGTTGTGGTGGGGGTGGGGGTAACGGCAGCGGCGGGGACCGTGCCAGGCGCAACCGGGCGATCGATCTGCGCGCTCTCTACCGCCGCAGTCCGCGTTCGCATCCCGCCCGCGCCCGCTGCCACGCCCCCGCCCACCGGCGAGATGCGGACCTGGCAGCGCCCGCGACCCCGCCTCCGCCCGCTCGATACGCCGCGTGGCCAAGGCGCCGGGGACGGCAAAGGGCAAGGCGGAGAACGAAGGCGACGAGGGGGAAAGAGGAATCGATAGACCGGTGATGGAGGAGATGGAGACCCTGGACGAGAATGCGGGATGAAGGAAGGCAAGAAGGGAGGAACACGTTAAGGGAGTGAGCAAGAGGTGGTCGAGGTGGAGAAGAAGTGGAGAGAGAATAAGAGTGGAAGGAAAGAAACTAGTAGAGTGAACAGGAATGAGGAGGTGTCGAGAGAAAGTCGGAGAGAACAGGCAAACTACAAAAGAGGAAGACGTAGATAAGAAAGTGGAGTGGAGAATGGAATGTGAAGAAGGAACACAGAGAAGATATCAACGATTGGGAGGAAGAGCTAGAGGGAAGAGTCGGTGTGAGGCGCAGGGAGTGGTGGCTGAAGAAACGGAGAATAAATAGAAGAGAAGACGAGGTCAGAGGGAAAGTGACTTGCGTTGCAGATTTAGGAGCAAAGGTGTCAAATACTCATGTTGATGGATAAATAAGCACCTAACGTGATAAAAATGTGACGTAATGCAGTATAATTGTACTAAGAGACGGTTACCTGGAGAGTAATAACAAATGAAATAAGTTTGTCTTGCTTCCGAAACTTTTGTAATAGATTTATTACTTTTCTAGAATATCGAATAAATTAGAAAAGGCAACGAAAAAATCCAAAATTCAATACACGCATTAATTTTATTATTAAAACGGGGATAGTGAGTTGAACGAATTTTTTAGCGATTTGCAAAGGAATTAGGCACCACGTAGTCAATAATTCTCCCATTTTGTATACTACGTATTTTCATCACCAAAGTTTGTTCCAAATTTGCCTCTACCAGGCAATGAATTCTTGATTGTTTATTGCGAGACCTTTGTAATAACAGAAGACTACTGTATATCAGCCATGTTTCGGGGTCAATGGGAGTGATTTGTAACTATACTTAATCCACATTGTCGTGATTCAATTTGAGGAAATAGGGCCATGATTTCCTGTAGAGATCCGGACAATTAATTAACTAGCATATTGCGACATTTTCAAATGACATATTATGCTAGTTTTATTATCTCTGATGTAAAATATTACTGTAAAAATCTTTAAAATCTTCAACCTTGTTGTGATTAGTTCCAATTTTGTAAAAGTAAATGAGTAAGCATTATATAACGTACTCTACACTACGTATTTTACTCCGAATATACGTACGTATACTAGAAAGTAAAAATTAAGCACAAATTATTCCATTGTAGTGGATACGTCGGATAATTTAATTAGGTGCTCTATACGCCTACCACACTGTATCGATTTCAATAGTTTTAGAGAATATAATCACATTTCCTTTACAGAAAAAATTGAAAGCAAGGAATATAATAAAAAAGGATATACAATTAAACACATTTATACATGTTAAAATGAAAATGGTTTTAAAACGTACAAAAGAACTCAATCACGATTTAACTTTAATTTCATAAACTTGAAATTGAAGGGTTTCTTACAAGAACCAAACTACTTCAAATTCGAGATTTTTCACGAGGCACTAAAAACTTCGTGTCGGAGGCGTGCATAGTAATGAATTTATGATTGCCCCCTGTTTTGTATCCTTAAATGTGTTTGGCACTTACCGAAAGGAAATGCCCCAGCAGATAGCGCCAGTTGTAGGGAATAACTTGGTGAAATATTTCAAAATGTAGAATGTTGGGCTTGTTTGTTTCTTGTAAAATCCCTTAAATTGTTTTAGAAATTTTGATACAACAATTCTTAATTTTGCGTTTGATTTCTATAGCTTGTACGTACATGTGGCTTTAACGCTCGTAGGTCTCTCTATTACAAACTAAACCTCGGACAAACGTTGACAATACCCATGAAATAATTGCAGTTAACGTATGTTATCTAGTTGATGTAAAGCCAACCTAGGACCTCCCTGTCAGAGGCATTGCAGTGACATCAACTAAATCTTCAGAAACGCGTCAAACGCCAAATTTCTCATTTCGAGAAAACTGGGAAAAAGTCTTCCAATTTTTCTGATTTCAATTTTTTTTTAAAATTTATTAACGCAGTTGATAAATTAATATGTTTAATTTAAATATGCACTAACGATGTGTCTATCCTCTTGAAACAATAATGTGGATTTTAGATTTTGACGAGTTTCTGAAATAAACGATTAAATTGATGGCCTGCGACACTTACGCAGGTTTCGAGCATTTCCCAAATTATGACTTAAGAAAATTCCCGCTTATGCAACCCGGAACACACGTTATTGCGCAACGTACGTTCAACAACAAAGACGCTGTAAAACCTAAACTGTATTGAAATAAACAGTTGAAACTGCCTGCGCAAGTTCCGCGAAGCTCCCGCGCGGAAAGGTCAGTGGGAGCGGAGTGGGCGTGGCGCGGCGAGGCTGTACTCACCAGCTTGAGGTCGTGCACGCCCAGGTCGCAGTCGCTGGCCACGTCCTCGCTGGCCGGCAGCGACAGCACTCCCGAGTCGCTCACGTCGTCGTTCTCCGTGTCCGTGCACACGTCACGCGTGTCGGGCGCCGGGCTGCGCGTCGACGCCTGCGAGCACACGCACAAGCACGCGCACGCGTCACTCAAGGAACCACCGCCATTTCCTTCGTGGTTCCCGTTTGCACCCACATGCGCATACGTACATACACACTCGCGCACGCGCTTTGTCACGCTTTTGCTCGCTAAAACGTCTCTGAAACAACATCTTAATTCATTTCTTGGTCCCTATTTGTAATTTCGCGCGCGCGCGCGTCCACGCACAATACGTGCGTACACACACAGGCACACACACACTCACACACATACATAAATTCAGGCGTATGCTTTGTCCCGCCCACGCTCTCACACATATTCACTTGCAGCAACATATCAGAATTCCTTCCTTGATCCCTAAGTAAGCATACACACATGGTCACGTTCACAAAAAAGTACTTCCACAAAACATAATATTGTGAGGTTTTTCTTAACTCTCGTATGAAGTTGATGAGATAAATGGTTTGTCGAGACAGGAGACAGGCTGTCATGACACAGGTTCCATAAAAGGCTCATGATCAACGTCTGCGCTTTCCAGGCACAAGAGCCTACGTTCGATTCCCGACGCGGACAAGAGAAATTTGTAGCTTCCGCATTGCAGGGGCATGTCGCAGACACTGGCAGGGGGTTTAGAAAAGAAGAGGGACCAGATTACCAGTATTCGTGCTAGGGAAACGTGTTACTCTTAGGGCCGGTCTCGAACACTATTCCAACTCGTAGCCCCTCCGTAAACACAAACATTTCTTTTCTCAGATATTCATCGAAAACAATCATGAGCTACCTTAAACAATGTCTGCGTGCATCTGAATGGGGCCAAGCCCCTCTCTTCGCTCACCCGCGGGTACACTGAACGTTCGTGTTCGCTGTTGACGTCGCACCGTCGCGTCGTCGCAAATGGAGCGACGAGGTCACAGCCGAGGGCGTGGCGAGGCGGTTATTTCCATCCAAACGGAAGTGTGCACACAACCTCTGAGAAACGCTCCCTTGGGAAGTTCATGCGGTGTGTTTCTATCCTCTCCAGCTACACAGCTATTACAAGCATGCATGGACGTAACATGGGTCAACTGTTCTTTTTTTGGGCGCGGAGTGGAAGAGTGGAGAGAATTGTTATAAATTTCGTACTATTATTATTATTATTATTATTATTATTATTATTATTATTATTATTATTATAGGCTTGACACATATAAATGAATTTCACCCGCGAAATCCTTGAAGATAACATGGTTCTGAAAGGGGACCTCTTGAGAATTACTTCTCATTGTACAATTATATTTTTCCACATTTCCACTTATTTGTAATAATTTTGTAAAGATACAAAAGTTTATTACGTTTTATATTAATGCTGTATTACACATTTGCAGCGATTGTGAAAGTCAATAAAGCTCGAAATATAGGAAGGCAATGTAACACTCTCCCTTACCCCTCTGTCCATTTTATACTAATTCAAATACGAATGTATGAACAGAAAGCAAACTTTATTAGCAAGATTTATTTTAAAGCAGAAATTATTGAACTGTTCATAACACTTTTTTTCTTCTCCTTTAATGTCGTGTTATAATTTAATTTTGTGTATTGTCTAATATTACACATTTTCTTCATTAGTTACATTTTTACTTCAGCGAAACAAAAGTATGTGAAAAAGTATTGTTCTTCAGATTAACATTGAAAATAATAGTAAAAGCGGAGTGCATAATATCTTAAGTATGCAATGAGAGCCTTGAGAGTATTTTTTTTAAATTGTGACCAGTTTTTGCACCATATGTGACAAAGTCGTTAGTCTTTGCCAAGGATAATCATTGAGTTGACAATAAGAGACTGAATGACAATGACGTAACGCTGGAATGAAGGGCAGACGAAACGGGACAACCAGAGAAGAGCCGAGAACTTGCTTCGTTGACTTGTACCCAAAGGTGGAAAACCCACACGTTCGAAACTTGGTACCCAGAGGTGGAAAACAATTTCGTATCCGCAATACTATGCTGGTCGCCCATATTTTAACCCTAGACCTCTACCTCAAAAAAGTTGGAAAGTCTAATGGGAGTATGAGTGGTCTATTTTATAATTTTTCTCTCTTCCTGAGGAATTAGTCATGTACTGAATATTCATAGTGGTTATGCGATGATCAGGACGAGGACAAAAAACGTGAAGATGGTGAGGTTGATAATAAGGATGAGGACACAGATTGATTGATTGTTACTGATTCCGGGCGTGTCAACTACAAGGGCCATCAATCCCGTCAGTGCAGTGCATGTTTTGCTCTTCCCCCAGTGCATGGCGAGATCCGGTGCCGACTTACCGTCGGCTAGCGAGGGTCTCCCCAACCAAGTATCTCACAAGAGAGGGGCACCACCCCAGCCGGGACAAGTTCCAAGCTCCCGATCGGTCTCCCAGTATGTGTGCTTGTGTAAAGCGTGTTAGTGTAAGTGTGTGTAAGGGGAGAGCATAGGACAAGGACGAGGTAGGAAAGGTCGTGCACGCTCGGTGGCCCGTTTGTTAGGGTCCTGCTCCGGCATTCGCCTGGTGTTGATCGAAGAAAAAACACAGAAAACTACCGATCAGAGCAGCCGGCTTCTAGAATTCTCCTCCAGACAGCGCCTGCATCCTAACTAGCTGACAAGCTAGCGACGAAAAGCCTGCCACTGGCAGAACTCGAACCTAGGACCTCCCGGTCAGAGAGACTGCAGTGACATCAGTTGATACCCTGAGCCACCTCTCTCGGTAGGATGAGGAAGAGGTTGCGGTTGTGAATCTGATGGAAGACCATGTCAGCAAAACGAGTGAACACTCAGGAAAGGCCTGTCGCAGACCGAGTTTGCCCATAAACACTGCTCAGGCTGTGAATCCAAGTATCAAGGATTAAAATCTAGCATGCTGACTTCTACGCTGCAATTTCCCTGCATCCTTACAATATTATATTCTGGCTGCATATATTGTTGTGTAAGAGTCGCATATATTTATAACCTTTGTAAACGAGTATAGAATACCAGCGATGGTTAGTGACAAAACGAATAACGAAAAAATGACAAGCAATACTCCCGCTGTCACTGTCAATACAAACTGTCGCTGTCAGCCACATAGTTGATTGTGTATGCTTGAGGTTATGTCCGCTTTGTTTTGCATGTGCATATCAGACATTTGCTGTGGAATGTTTGATAAAAGATCCTACTTCGTTTGGTTCCTAATGGTTTCGTTTGCTAGCTCAAGTAACATTTAAAAACGTTACGTTCGCTTAGAAGCTTGAGATATTTGGCAACCACTGATCTAAATGACGGAATAATGAAATGAGAAGTGGGAAAATCTGAGAGCCTCCACGAAACATAACACGCTTTGTCTATCGTAAATTACAAGTGATGTTTTCGAGACGTGAACTTAGGTACTCAAGGGATACATTACGCACAGATCGTCACTGTGAACTGTGTGTCAGATGAGTCACTGAGAACATAGTGTATTCTGCCGCGTTACGTTCGTGAGAGAATTGGAGGGAGAGTGGGTGGTAGTGGGGGCAGCGAGGAACAGCGGTTGAGAGCGGGCGTCAGCCGGAGACAGCGGGGGACAATGGGAGGCAGCGGGGAACACAGGGGAAGCGAGGGGAAGCGAAGGGGCGGGTGTCAGATGAGGACTGTATTTGACAGTGGAGGGCAGCAGGGGTCAGTGGGGGCAGTAGAAGGCAGTGGGAACAGTGGGAGACAGTGGGAGGCAGTGGGAAACAGTGGGTGGCAGTGGAGGGCAGTGGGTGCCGTGGAGGGCTGCGGGGGCCAGTAGCGGGTGAGAGCGAGCGTCCGAGGGGGGCAGTATTGGACAGCGTGGG